CCACACTTTATGTATGTTTATGCGTGCTTCTATGTGCGCGTGTACATACGCATGCACATGCAAGATTAAAGAAAAAAAAAATGGGGGCAAGGGTGCCCACCCTCCCCGTGGCTATGCCACTGACTTCACTGCATGCACTTGTCACTGCACTTGCCACTTAATTTGCACCATTGCGACGAAAAGTCAGCATGGCCGCCGACAGTTTTGTTAAGAACGACGGCACTCCAGATAATAAACGCGCTCAGAACTATCGTGCCAAGTGACCGTTTTTGTATTCCACTGAAAACGTGCGGAGGGTAGCATGTAATCATGACAAACGAGCAAGTGATAATTTTTATATGCTTATAAAGGCAGGGTTGCTCTTGAACTTGGTGGGTGGCTTTCTTATCCCAAGGTTTCAGGAGCCACTTATCTACAAGGCGCAGCTGCTGAACGGAGCATTGTCACCTCTCCAAGATGTCGCAGGTTAGCTTCCAAACGGCGGCCTCCACGACCTCCTCTATAAGCTTGGAGGAGGTCGTGGCGCTGTTATGACCGCCATCGGTAGGCGCCATGCTGTCGCTGAAAAGCGTAGCCGGGCCGCGTTCCCACGCCTGGAACCCAGGTTTTCTTGGAACCAGCGTCGAGAGCTGACGGGGGAGCGGCGCTCTTTTAATCCTCAAACAAGTAGCCGACTCGCCGAATGCCTATGCCCGCCAGGTATTGTCCCTGCTAGCCGGCGGATGAGACGTCACGTCGCCACGAAGCAGTAAGCCGTTCCAGAGGGGACAACAAAGACAGCGTATTCCTTTGAAGAAACGGCGACCGCCGCCACAAAGTGCCCTGCTAATTGAGCGGACAGATTGGCGGACCGTTTGATGTCTGCTGTCCGAAGCTTGGGACCCCTCGACCAGCGACATACACGACGAGCAAGAGTCTCTCTGGCGCCACCTTTAAGTGCAGTGATCTTGACTCGAAATTGGATGTTCACGTGCGCCGTGCATGCTCGTACCCCTCACCTGTTGTGTGTGTGTGTGATTGGTGTTCCACTGAAGAAGGAGGAGCCCGACAGGGCTTATAACGGCGCCGCAGAGTGCAGGATGTCGCTCTGAACCAAGTAAAGGTTCAACCACCACGTTCGTAGTTTGTGAAGGCTCTGAACCATGTAACGGTTTAACCACCACGCTCGTGGTTTGTGAACTCTTAACCTCATGCTATAAATATTTGTAAATTGTGCCATAAACCTTGTTTGTTTTTCGTATCCCCATCTTGATAGCGGTCGTTTCCTCAACCCGAAGCTACACCACGCTACCACAGCACCCAGGGATCACACCAGTCTGATAAAAGCGGTGGGATCACGACAGCGCTGTCGAGAGCGACGTCACGGCGCGTAGGCTCTGCCCAGCCCGAAGCTCGCCACCGCCCTCTGTCATCATCTATGATCACGTGACAAAGGGCACATCAGCTGTGAAGTTGCTGTGCCAGGAAGAAAGATAGGACGAAAGAAAGAAAGATAAAATAAGAGAAAGAGAGAAAGGAAATAGGAAAGACATATATTATGTATACAAAACAAAGCAAAAAAGCATATGCCGGGACTACATGACGCCATCAGCTTCGCTTTTTCTTTAACATCGCGTCTCCAGTGCAAGCATTACTGATTTTTTTTTTTCAGGGGCCGTACTTAAAAACGACGTGGTCTGTTAAAGGCCTTGCGTGATTGACAGGACGTCGAAATTTATCGATTGCAACGAAGTGAGTTTAAACCATTGGGTAATCCAGCCGATGCTCACGCGCCTGGCCTGTCGGCTTCGTTTAGTTATTGATTGATTCTTTTAAATTTCCTAATTTGACACTTCGACATTTTATATGAAAGATCCGGTTGACTTTGTATCATAACAACTCTTACCACAAGCGCCCGGCTAGCTCAGTCGGTAGAGCATGAGACTCTTAATCTCAGGGTCGTGGGTTCGAGCCCCACGTTGGGCGAATTTTTTTTTGTCAGGCTGAGTTTATTTTTTTAACTACTATGCATTTGTGCGAGATCCCGAAGTTTCGCCTAAGACACTACAGAAAAAATACGTGCGGATTTGTCATTGAAAGTTCCCCATATTCGTCGATATAACAGCAACAAGGTTGAGCATTAGAGCACGTGATGTTCGAATCCACCCAATGGCTGTAAAATGGGCTTACTACGTGTGATTTGGTGGTATATTGCGTGATTTGACGAGAGAAAAAAAAAAGCAATTTTTCGCTGACATTGATAATTTTTTTTTTGTGAATTCGAGGCCGCGAGCTGCGCTATAATATTTGGCTCGCGTGTTGTCGGGAGCCTCTACTACCGATCGGCAGCGTTTTCTGACCATGCTCAAAAAGTGTTGCAGGGCCCCTTCAAACCCGTGATGCCAGTGTGGCCCCCGATTTCAAGGCATGAATCGTTCTCATGTTCTGACAAAGCTCAGTATAAAAACTTTGTGAGACTTGCGAAGTTGTTTCTGTGGGCTCTACCTTCATTGATGAAATGCTGACGGTCCACATCAAGATTTGTGACCACCAGGATGAACTGATGGGCCGTCGCGTCTAAAGCCAGTTGCGTTGACCTTCAAGTACGGAACACTTTAGGGGATGCTGTCGTATGCTGTCGTCGTCGCTTGGCGTCACGCAGGCAAAACTGCACATAGCATAACTATCCGTAGTAAACTGTGCCCACTATCGCACCGAAGTCTGCTTTGTCTTGTTCGTTGAGCATCCTGATGATTATATCAAGTGCGGAGCACTATAAAACGTGAAAAAAAAAAGAGAATCAAGCGAGAAACCGAAAAAGGAAGAAAGCGAAAAAGTATCGTTTACTCTTAACAATATAAACAAAAATGGAATAAATAAAGAAGACAGGAATAGCGGAAAAACGGACGAAAAAAGAGAGATGCAGGCTAAGGAAGAGGGATCGAAATAGAAACAAGTAAGGCTGTCCAGATCTGCATCTTCTTCAGGCTTGCCACCGCTAGTGCATCCGCCACTAGTGCATCCTTCTTGCATCCGCGTCTTTTTTTTTTTTTTTCGGGACATGACATTTTCTTTTTGTTCTTTTTACACGCGCGGGCTTAGTTTAGCTGACTTACGTTATTTACTGCCCGTGTGCTCAGATTTGGGTGCACGTTAAGAACCCCAGGTGGTCGAAATTTCCGGAGCCCTTCCACTACGGCGTATATATCTCATAATCATATATCTGGTACGTTAAACCCCACATATCAATCATCAATTACCTTATTTACTCGCATACTTGCTGCAATTGTCCGCCCCAGCAGCTGTGACGACAGGGCCGGCCAGGATTCGCTTACCTTTTGTCGAACGTGGATTAGTACGAGTGGTGCGATTTGCCGTACGTTTGGCTAAGCGGTGGTAACTTGTGACCAGGCACATGGTACGGGTTATAGTTCGGATTATGTCGACTATGATATGAGATATCGATCCATGGTTAGATCTGATATATATCTGCTAGATTTTGTGCGCGTGTGTGTGTTGCACGTGCACTGAGTGACGCTCTTTTTATATTAATAAAAGTTCTTCTAAAATTTAGAAATTGATAGGTTGTGGTTCAATTGGTTAAATGTTATATTGGATATCACATCTGACCGTCACTTTAGCTAATATAAGGACGCACCGCTGCGGTAGTCTAGTGGCTAAGGTACTCGGCTGCTGACCCGCAGGGCGCGGGTTCGAATCCCGGCTGCGGTGGCTGCATTTCCGATGGAGGCGGAAATGTCGCAGGCCCGTGTGCTCAGATTTGGGTGCACGTTAAAGAACCCAGGTGGTCGTAATTTCCGGAGCCCTCCACTACGGCGTCTCATAATCATGGTGGTTTTGGGACGTTAAACCCCACAAATCAATCAAGCTAATATAAGGACCATTTAACAGTCGGGATAATAAGGTAAATGAACGGATTAAGTTCACCTTAAGATCGTGTGCAGCTGGGGCACGTGGCGGAACTGATCTCAACAAATGAACCACGCGCTTCTTTTTACGTGGCCTCTGAGATTCGCTTCGGCGGCGCGATAAACATAAAAAGCTTAAGGTACAGGAGCTATTTGCGTGACGTCATCCGCAATTGAACGCAGGGGCGGTGCCAGGATTTTTTACTTGGGGGGGGGGCTGGCACCCACTGCAAGCGAGCTCCTTCATGGGGGCAGGGAGGCTGGGAACATATGTGTATGGTGTTTTGAGTATGCTTGTTCTTGAGGATGGGGGGGGGGGGGGGCGGAAATTTCGGGGGTGGGGGGCTCCAGCCGCTCCATGCCCCCCGGTGACGCCGCCCCTTAAGGAACACTCTGAAAAAAACATCGAGTAAAAAGGGCGTATACTTATGTCCCACGACAATAATTCGCTTCCCTTCTTGAAAAATCGGCGCTGGCCACTTTCCTATCAAGAAAGCTATGTCACCTGACAACGCGCAAGTTGTCCGTGACCTGAAAGGCGCGCGGCGATAGTGCAAGATAAAGAACGCGAGAAAGATGACGATTATTGTTGAGGGAGAAAAAGAAGCCCTTTTTACTCGATCTTTTCTTTGAGTGAACGATGGCGCGACAGTAGCCATATTAGTGGCGTCACGCAGCGAACCTCATCGTCGGACTTCAACCGAAGCTCCCGGCAGCACGTGATAAGGTATTTTTTCTAAGAAAATGGCTTAGCGAGGCGCAGCGCCGCCTAACACCAAGCTGTCGTACGCCGGATAGCTGGACGATCACGCTGAACACTCAATGTTGTGGCGAGTCGCCTCTCACGACACCAGTTTTGCTTGCTGGCGCACATGGCAGCCCTCAGCGTTTATGGCGCGGAGTCGAGCTTTCCCGCCGGACACCATGAGCGGGTATGTCGATGGTGATTACCACTGCTTACAAGCATGCCTAGAACGCTGACGTGCGAGTGAGTGCCTCAACCAGACATCCAGCTCAAGAATTTGTGTCGCTTCCTGAATTTTTTTTTCTCGATGATAATAGCCAAGCAACTTGAAGTTAAGGTAAGCAGCATTATATCATCATACGACGTCTTTATTATCGCATTACTGTACAACACGATGACGTGCAGTTGAGGTGACCTCGTTGAAGACCGGCAACGATAAGGGTTCACCGTAGAAGGTACGTGTGAAAATATTTTGTTCACTGTGATCTCACTCGTCTCTTCAGGTGCCTTCTACGGCAACCCTGTAATGATTTCGTAAGGTCTCGTTAGCTATTTAGATAGCCCCCGAGATTGCCGCGTGGCCCACACGCTTCTTAAATCACTCATCATGAGATGGACCATGCATGAATCGTGGTATTCAGTTGTCTCCAGCGATATTTTCTTCTTTCGAGGTAGATTGCAGAGTTACATATCTTATTTGGTACTTGCTCAAATGGAGTGGTATCAATTCACGGTTTTACCACAAGTGTTGCGTTATTGAGGTTAATTTCACGTATTAGGACAAAACAGCACTGCCATTTTCGACAGGAACACAGACCACATTAAGTGGAATGTTTTGCTTTGAGTTACCTTCTGGTACATATGCGTCGCAATATTTCACGCTGACGCGCATTTGTCGGGCGAAAGAAGAAAAAAATCATGTGGCACATTTATCACCAATAGCCACGACGAGGCTGGTCGGAGTTCATGCGTAACACTGCAAGTGCTTTCTGTTTTTCCTGCTATTCTAGAGCACGAAATAGTTCTATTCTCTTTTGGTTCTGTCTGTCCTAGTTATATTTCGTGCTCCATGTGTTCTCCACACGGCACCTTACAGTCGGCAGCTGAGCATCATAACTACAGTACCACCCTGGCGGGTTCTCGCCTGCTTAAGGAACCAACAAACATGAAGTGGGACAGCGTTGTAAATTTAAAAAAAATCGAAAGTTGCGTGAGTGCTCGCTCGGCAATCTCGGGGGGCCAGTGTCTTGTGGGGTTGCCCTAGTGCCAGGAACACTAAAGCTCTTTCAGGCTTTCTTGTGCTTCGCGGTGGCGGCGGCAGCTGGATGGACAGGTGCCGCGACGTGCGCAGGGGTAGCAACAGCGGCCGGGTGAGCTGCCACGCCGGGTGTGGCTGCTCCAGATCCTGCGGCGGCCCCTGCAGCGGAGGCAGGCGTAGCCACGCCAGCCGCCGCCGCACCGACAGCACTGTGGCCTACTACGCCAGCCTGATCCTTGACCGTGCACAGCCCCTGCTGGCAAGCACCGTTCAGCACCTGACCGTCGAGAGTCCGGGTCTGCAAGAAGGATGAAAGAAAGGGCCCCGCGAGAAGTGGATGTGCGTCAGAACAAAGCTGTCTGGAAAGAAGAGTTCCGGCCAGTTCCTCGCAATGAATACAGCTGGACAGCGAGGCTGACGTCAATTTCGTCAACATTTTGCCATAAGTGTGCGTGCGAGGGGCAGGAGGGATGGTAGTCACCATCTCCCCGTTTAACCAACTGAATTACGGTTGTACCATTATACATTTCAGTTAACCAACTGAATTTACGGTTGTACCATTATACATTAGTAAACACATAAATACTTTTATGCGTCCGACATACGGTACAATGGGGATCTTGACACAAGTTCCTTCTTGTACATTGGTATTTAACCCGTGACAATGCGCAATAAACCTTCAGTTAATAGCCTGTATGTTTTTGTATTATTCGTGGACTACGACTATAACAGCGTACCTGTTTAGAAAAAAAAATCACTTAACCTCGACACCATATAGTTGGCACTTGTCAGCGAAGCCAACGCTGTGCTTCACAATCGATGTCTGGGCACAAGATGATATACCATGAAACCACGACTGACGAACAATATTAATAAGCATGTGATACAGACAGACTGAGCGTTGTGGTGGTCACTTTATTATCTCCGCAATAGCTACTGCAGTCGCAAGAAGTTGATGCATCCCAAACAGCCAAAAATACTGGTCTATAGGTTATTTAGTCCGCAGTACGGTGTGCAGTCGCAACAACAACAACAAAAAAGATTAGCACAAGTGAGTGGTGGCTGGAGCGGCAAAAATTGCGAAAAAATGCGAATGTATTTGGCCGAGAGGGCCAAATACATTCAGTTCTACAAAGCAGGAATGGCCGGCAGAAAGCAGCCCATCTTGCTGATGACCACTCCGAAAGCCCTTGTCCTGAACACTCGTGCACTTATTATCGGCAAGAAAGTTCACAGCAACGCTGGCGCATGATGCTTGAGTGCTTTCCGCCGGTCACCCCCTACTTTGGCAAATGGAATGTGCTTGGCAATATCACTGTCGGCAAATTCGGGAACAACAACGTCACGTACGTTTCGCAATTTCGCTGCACCGGTCGCGAGTCACTGTTTAGGGGCGAAGCTTATAAAGCCGTGGGTCTGTCCCTCCTAGCCCGTACGTGACTCGCTCAGCAGGTGCGGACAGACAGACGGACGGACAAACGATTCACGGTTTACCGATAAAACCCTCCGAAGCTTCGCCCCACTCATCATCAGTCACTCCGTGAATATGCCACGTTTTTTTTTTCGTCGCGGCTATACAATCTGCATTTTTTAGGTGAGCAAGTCCGTGAGGCGCTATCGACCACATCAAACTACATTGCGACCCATGCGACGACATCGGCAACGACTGCCAATCGGCATTGCGATGCATCTTCAAGATAAAAAAAAGAAAGCTTTTATCTCGCGTTGCTATAGCGACTGGCACTTCGCGGATGTGACAGACGAGTCTATAACTAAGCGCTGCGCGTCTGACCGCTTGTCGGGCGCGCTTGGGCGCCTTCACTGCCTTCACCTCTTCGCAAGTGACCTTTTTCGGGTTCGGACTTGCCGCAAATCTCCGGTTGCTATGGCAACGCGATATGACCTTCGTCTGTCTCGAAGTTTTGTCGTACCTCCTATAGATGTCAGCTGCCATCACTGCGCCGAATGGGTGCACGCCGTTGAATTATTTGTTGTACTTTGGTCGAGCGCGCATGGCAACTGCGGAATGTATCCGCTGACGTGGACTCGCGAGAGATCTCACCTTGCAAGGCACACCATCCTCGCCGTCAGTGAAGATGAAGTAGGCCCCCTTGCCATCGATCACGTACTCGCAGTGCACCCGACATTCCGAGAAGAGCTGCGACAGGAGAAGTGTAAGTGAGCACGTGTTTTGCTGATCCTTTTTTGAGCGGTGGTTCGCGAGGCCTAAGCGCAGGACATGCCATTTAAATGAATATGCCACCTGACGTTGAAGTGTTTGGGTTCTATTACATGGTTTCAACATGTGTTGGCGCCAGGCCGATATGCGTGCCATGGTTTAACGCTTGAGTTTGTGCCTTCGTACTCGTACTGAATGAATTCTTATTGCTGATGTGTTGAGAATGATTGTATTCATGCGGCACAAATTAATATGGTAAAGACGTCGCTGAACCGCCGCTGCAATGAACGTATTCCTACGTTACGTGTCAAAGTTGGTACCACAGAGGCAGTGTGCGACATAATAAGTCGTGACTGAGAACGCACCCCGTGTGCCTTTTTTTAGTGTAACAAAGCACGACCGACTCGGTGGGTTAGTCGGTTCATTCTAACATGATGATTCATTTTAGTATGAAACAGCGCGTGCATTTCACGGAACCAGAACATAAAGAATTGGCCATGGAGCGCTCGACTTTTGTCGGTGTTCTTGTTCTTCGATAGGCTTGCGCTGTCTGTACCTCACAAGGACAGACAGACAGATAGATGATAGATGTATAGATACAGAGAGATAGAGATAGATAAGATGCAGTGGTAAAAAAGCAAACGCACTAAGAAACGCTCTTCATTTATAATGTATATGACAACCACAAATGCAGTCGCTCGTGGCTAAGCGATTGCCGACGAACTGCATAATTTTGCAATGCTACACATTTTTAAGGTCTATATCAGCCAACAATCAAGAAAGACTGCTAAGCTTCTTTATTCTTCACATGTGCGACTCATTGCTAGAGACTTCATTAATGTACATAAGTATGACAGGGAATATGTAGTGAAATACTAAATCTATTGGTATTTTGACAATCTTGGGTTCATTATGAAAATGAAGTGGTGCAAGACTTATTTTTGAAATTTTCTCGCCGAAGGCCTCGCACTTCAATGTCAGTTTGAGTTCATTGAATTTGAAATATTATAACACAAAATAATTAATTTTATCGTTAATAAATCAGGGTGCCAGCAAGACGCCGTGACAATCTACGACGTCTCGGTGAGTCATCGTCGGAACTTTGGGGAGGTGGGGGCGGGGGGGCGTCGCCACCTGAATTTTCCTGCGTATATTTTGGCTCCACTGCACTGTAAAATCGGAGGAAGTGCGTATACACACACCCTCCACTTGGTACCCATGGGTACCTAGTGGTTCCCGTTTGTGGAGTTCCCACGGCTCCTTATACTAAACCGCCGATGGGGGTCTGTGTTAAAGGAAATCATGTAGGGTTTCCGCGGCGATAGTAGAATTTTGTTTGAAATAGGTTCTCAAACTCGGTGTGCGGCATGTAAGCTACATTTTGAAGGGCTTTATTGACGTCCTACCTATTACGACAGTCGAGATACGTGTCATCTGCTGCGAGTTGCGTCATGTTGTTGCCCCCCCCCCCCCCCTTTTTCAGATGTAGCGACGAATGCAAGGGAGAGATGCCGGTAGCAGTAGCAATAGCACGTTTGGCGAGGCGTTAGCGCCCTCTCTTGTACGGTGCGGCTGTCAATCACTTGTTTTCGAAGGTTTTTTTTTAATAATGATTTTAAGCCAATTATAGCGCTTGTTATTTGGCTGTTTCGGTTAATTGCGTTCTTTTATACCTTATTCTTTCATTTAACCTGATTTTGATAATTGCTAACCTTACGGACCACTTGATTTTGAGCGTGACCATGCCACATGAAATATACGGGGCAAGAAGCGTCCGGGCTCTTAAAGAGCTACGCACTTAAACATCGTTTTCTCGTGACAAGAGGTGCTGGTCTTGCTATTGCGGGAAAGTTATATAGTTTAATGATTCAAGCGAAGGCACGATTCTATCCTATTCCTATCGAATCTTGCGTATACACGCGCCGTTGCTCGCCAGATCTGTCAGATGATGCCTATAGCTAACAAGCAAAAAATAATCCCTAAAGAATCTCCCGTCCCTCAAACGACGAGGCGCAGCTTTTGCGAGGAAGCCCAAAAGAAGGGAAAGTTTAATGCGTTTTCTGATGATTGAAAATATTTTCAGTTATAGTGAAAAACGTCACTGAAATGCGAAGAAAATGATAACCTCAATTATTTCTCGCAGCGGTAATACATCGCAAAATATGCGCAACTATGAGCGAAAGTACTTATTCACTATCTAACAGCCTTCTCTCTGTTAACTGCACGTTTGCCAGTTCATGAATGAAGTTACCTGTTCACTCTCCCAACGTGCGTTTGCTTTCAACAGTCAACTGCACAAATGCATCGACGAGCGCACTGTAGTGAATGTGACGAGCAGTAAAATCCCGGTATTTATAGAAAGCACGTGACTAAGCCCGAAAATTGCGACGAGCGCCTCGACGAAGAAAGAAACAGCTTGTTAGGGAGTTTCAGAATAGCGCACCGCGAGCCCTTGCGGTGCGGTCGCGACCACTGCGCATGCGTCGTAACGCTATAACAGCTGTTGGCGGCCCGCCCGTAGAAAATCTGAAATAGCGGGCGGCTGTGCTGTGGCCCGCAAACGCTGGTTTTAAGACTATGGTGTCGCTGCGATTGTGCGTTGCGGTTTGCAGGGGCGCAAACGTTATTCTAAACCTCCTATGGCGCCCGCTATGCCGGCAACGCCCGCAGCGCCTGCTATTATAGTCACTATTATAAGCTCACTATTATAAGATGAATCGGCAACTCTAGTCTACACTGACGCAGCACAGGATATGAGATCGCCAGCATTGGTCTTCATAGGCTTGCGCACATGGGGAGCAAGGGGGATGGGATACCCTGCTCCCCCCCCCCCCCCCTGATCACCTGAGAGGGATGCCAAGTCTACCCCCTACCTTTACTCAGTCAGGCCGTTGTAAGAAGTAAGTTTTCATATTTGCATTCGCTACGAAGCGACGTTGGTGCGGCGATTGTTTTCTGTTGAGCTCGACCCACGGGGAAGGGTGATGAGGGATGCGCTGTGACAAAACTTCACCCCCCCCCCCCCCCCCCCAACCGCGATCTCTACACACCTGGGGTCTTCGTGTACTGCACGCAATAGGATGATATAGGCTGTGTCAGCGCAGTCATCCTGCGTGTAAAATTGCCCGAGCAGCCTGGTTACCTTAACATTGGTGCACTTGTGAGTCTTCTGTGTCGTGTCGAAATGACCGTGGCCTGCTGCTGCCGCCGCTGAGGCCGTCGCACTTTCGGCCGCTGCGTGGTGCGGTGTACCGTTCACGGCGGCGGTGCCGACAGCGGGAGCTGCTGCGGCTGCGCCTGGAGCCGGCGTCACACTCGTGGCCCACGCTGGAAAAGAAAAAAAAAAAAAACAGTCATTTGTTCGCTGATGATAGGCGAATTGGGGCCAGAAGAAGAGACGCCAGAGTGAAGACACCTATATTACCACTTTAAACAACATGTGTAACACATTCGAAAGCATGAACAATTTCTGGAACATTTTTCCACATCCAGAAACTGTTCGGCTCCGTATACGAGCGGGCAACATTATACGGCATTTTAACAACGAGAGACGTACACATCAGGGAGAAAATATTGAGAATAATATGCGAGGGTTTTGCGCACCATATCACGACGTGTTTCTGGAGTACACCGTAATGGCAGGATCCGGATACTTGAACCTTTCGGTATTATTTGACGTGCACTTACATGGAAATGCAGCCGCCGCTGCCAAGATCAAGCCCGCGGATTTCGGGTCAGCCGCCGAGCACGGCGTCAGTGAGATGGCGAACTCGTTCGCATGTACAGGTCACCTCATGTGCAAGGTACTCACGAAGAATGTCCTCAAATGCTGGTGACACGCGCTGGTGACATAATGCTGGTGACACACGGCCCATGGGGCCGTATTCAGAGACCGCCAGCCTTGGAGAGATCGCAGTAATGTCGCTTTCAACACGCTTTGAGTGGCTGGTTGAAGGGAGGCCGGCAAGCAGAGCACCCGTAATTGGCCACCCGGGATTCTATGCCGCGCGATGCGAGACTTGTCGCCCAATGGGATCGGTTCGGGACACGGATCCTGATTTAGATACTGGAAGAAGACCAATCTAGATGCTTTCTGCGTTCTCTGGTTCTGATTTATGCTTTGGACTGAACCTTAAGTAGCTGTTTGGGAACTTGGTGGGCATACCGAACAGCACCATAAAAATACTTCTTTTAATTCACCATCTGAGGGACAAAAATGCACATGTACTATCGGAGCAATATGAGCTCGAACACGTGAGCGTGTGTTGAACAGCCTGGAACTCTTCATCGGCTGATTCCAGCGGCCGCTGTCGGAAACAAAGTGGAAAGGGCGCCACGCTTCCACTAGCTGTTGACACTCCCGCCCAGCGCCGTGTTGCATTATGGCAGACAGAAATTAAATGCCTTCTTTCTTCTTCAAGAACCACTACCACCACTACCGATATCATTGTTGCAAAATGTAGGTTATAACGTGACAGTGGCTGCTAGCGGTTATACGAGGTCACATCAACGCGCACAGCCACAATCAATGGGCTGTGATGCACAGGCCATGCTTCTACGTCTAGATGGTGTTCTCTGAGCATTTTAATACACATATTTTGCTTGGTTTGTTTCTGGTGCATTTTTTTTTTCGTGTCATGAATTGCCAGTGGCCAATGGCACGCGATCAGTTGCCGTTTCACAGCATGTGGAAGTGCCAACCATGGTGTAAGAATAATCAACAGTCGGTGAAAGAGCGCATTCCTTCCCCTCCTGTTTCGGCAGCACCATCCACGTATTGGGTTATCTCGGTTTGGGAGCTATTTCCCACGCTCTCGCGTGTTCAATTTCATATTGCTCACGATAGTACGTCTTCCGCAAACAGCCGCAAGATGGTCCTTTACGTACATGTACGTCGTGGCCAATATGTTTGAAATGGGCGCCTCTTCAGGGGCGAAAGCTCCTTTATGGTCTAGGGCAGTCCATCTCTCCGGCGAAGCCAGCACATCCTAATAAGACAGTCAGTCAGACAGTGACGGACGAACGAACGTACGAATGGACGCTTCGCCCTACTCATCATCATTCACTCTGTGAATATGCTGTGCTATTTGTTTTCGATAATTTCTCATATTTGGCACGTGCTTTCACACTGCTCGAACATAAGGAATTTTATTTTGGTGACGATGTTCTTTCACATTTTTTTAGTTTATGCTTTACTATAGCGGTGCGCCGACTATAGTTTCAGTTTCGTTCTTTGGCTGGTTCTGACTCGTTGCGACCACAAAATTAATGGCTTTTCGGCTTAGAATCTTTCAAAAGGCCGACATTCGCTATGCTATTTTTCGTTATTCTTCTGAGAAGGGTGGTATCCGCTAAACACTCGCAAGGGATTTTGTGCCAGTTGTTCATGCAGTGGCTGACGACGATGAGGTACTATGCCTGAAGTGGGTATGCGCCCCAGTTAAAGGTGAACAAGAAGAAACGTTTGTAATGAGTTGGAGCATTGGACGACCCACTCGTTACGATATTCGCATTGTGCTATGACTGGTTGTTGTTTCGCTGTTTTAGAACGCTTATAAGTCGCATTAACGCGATTGCTTTCCCGACATCAAGCCTGCATAATGCAAGCCTGCCTAATGCAAGCTCAGTGGTAGAATACTGGCCTGGCACCCAGCGGACCCGGATTAGAGCTCCACTGTGTCAGTGGTGATAGTTTTTTTTTTCTAATTTTGTGCGGTGTGGTTACGGACACCGGCGGCGGCGGACAACTACGGCACTGCGCGTGACCCGAGTTGTGATCTCGTGACAGCTTTCGCTGTAAAAATGCTTTCGTCTGGTTGGTGATAAGGTGAAGGATTATCACATGTTTCAGACTTGGTCTCGCTTTCTGAACGCGCTCACAATTACACAGTTTACACAGTTCTCTTCGGCGCGCTCACCCACGAAGTTTGCTTTCGCTATGGTATAGAGCATGCCAGCCTGGCATGCTCTATTTTTTGCTCTAGTTTCTCTGCCGCAAGTGAGTCTAGCGGCGACTCCTCCGAATCACCGCTCAACTGTTTAATCAAAATCTCAATCAGTGTCAGCCCGCCATACGAGGAGTTACTTACGAGTCAAGACTCGGTAGTTGATGAGTGAGGGACATCTTGCGCGCGGTGAGACGATGCCGACTGTATTAAAAGTGGCTTTTTTTCCCCTGCTGTTTCCACTTAACGACACTTTGTGCACAAATTAGAGGTTTTCAGCAAGCTACGAAAACACGTTGCGGAAAGGCGGCAATACAGAATCGGCTCACAGGTGCGCATGCGCGAACATTGTACGCCTATACGAAAAAGAACCGTGTCGTATTTTCGTAACGTGTTTCCATAGCTTACTAAAAACCTCTCTCTATTTTTTTTTGCTAGTCTGTGAACTTCTCACGTCTATTTCAACGCATAGTTTTTAAATGGTCGTATGTGGTTTTTCTTCAGAACTTATCTTGCTGGTGCTCACGAATAAACTATGTGTATGTAACAACATAAGGGATTTTTTTTTCTGCCACTTCACGGTCACTAACAAAAAAGGCATTTTAGACACTTTTCTTTCTGGAATAGAATCATTTGAGAAAAAAAACTCAACGACACTCAACAAGCAAAATTCAACCATAAATAGTACGTATTTTCCAGGCGCATTTCGTGAGTAGACGTCGCCCCTCAAAGGGTTAAACGAGAGACACTCAAATCGTCGTCAGTTACCGATAACTAACCTAAAATGAGGGAAAAAGATCGCGGTCGTCCAGGGAGGTATTATCGAACCCGGCGCGGCTCACCTGCGGCTACCTGGAGCGCCAGTACGACGCCGAGCGACTTGAGGCAAGACATCCTGAAAGCGGCGTGTGTTTCTTCCGCTTGCTTCCACCGCGGCAGCAGCATCGTCGAGTGAGAAGCAGCAGGACCAAGAACCGCGAGCAGCTCTTTCTCGGTGTAGCGAAAAAAAAAATTAAATAGACGAAACGCTAAGGAAGGGACGTTCTATAGGTCTAGCACTCCACCAACAGCCGGCGTAATTGCTACGCGTTCCGGCGTCACGGTTTTTTTATCCCGCACGTGTCATTTCTGGGCATGCCCACACACACTGGCTTCTCGAGTGGTTGGCTTCAAACGCGAGTCTGTGTAAGCGTGCGTATACGCCAACCTCTGCGCGTCTTGCCGTCTCTCTTAACGTTCGCCTCCCCCCCTCTCTCTTTCTCTGTCTCTCTTTCTTTCTCTGTCTCTCTAGCTCTCTCTTTCTACTATGTCTTTTGCTTGATTCATCTACACCTCCTCCTTCTCCAGGACCACGTGTTCTCTTGCACGCGGGCCTTTATTATTTTTTTCTCAAAAAATAATATTCTATTTGGCTGTTCGCCCTACCTTTACCCTCGTCACGCTCTCTCACCCACCAGTGCTGCGAGACGAATATACTACCGCTTTCACTCTTACCTTCGCCCGCTCGCACCCCGGGCAGTGGAGGTATAGGCGCTGCGCCGTGCTCCCATACCGGGCGGCAGAAATTAAACGCCTTTTCCCTCTTCTAACCACTGCCACTGCCACCAGTCGGGGGTTGAAATGAGTGAGATGGCAGGAGCAGCTCTCACCATCGTTACGTATAAAAGTAATTTATACGGCTACGCTGGGGAGAAAATTGCGTGCGCGCCGATCACACTCCCAAAGTCAAGTCCCGCGGTGCTATCAACCCCAGGCTTTTTTTTTTATTTCTCACGTTTTCGTTTGTTTCTTTGTGTGTATGTCTTTCTTGAACTTCGTTTTCTCCTCTACTCTCCCTGCATTCCCTCCCGGACCACACCACCGACCCGCCACTAATTTCTCGTTTTCACGACACTGTGTTTCAGGCTTTAATTAGACGTCGCGTTCCGGTCACGCTTTGCCTTTTCGGTTAAGGAAAAGGTAACCGCAAAGAAACGAGCGCTGCACGAAAAGAGACAAGGCGAAACGAGGCTGTATTTTAATTTGCCTCGGCGTGTTTTTTGCGGTCACCTTCAGTAATCGTGAATCACACGCGCTCTTCTAAATTTGCCTTTCATTCGCGCTTGTTCGCGCGCGTGCTGTACTTGTTGTCCCCGTGAGAAACAAGCGCCGCAAACAATTACGCGAGCTGCAACCTCCTAGTCATAATATTGAGCATGCAATTTGGAAGTCACTGCATGTATACCGCACGTTCCACGGCGGACAAACAGATATTTCATATTCGCAACTAAGTCAGCTGTAGATTTTTTAGGTCTTGCTTTGCGACTTAGTAGGTATGTTGAAGGAGAACAGGGGGAAGGTTTCGGGGGAGAGGCGGAGTGTTAATTAATATTTAGCGTTTTGCTATTACTCTGAATTATATGCGCACGATTTTACAATTGCGAAAATGCGCCGTACGGCAGTGTAAGCGCGGGTATAAAACTATCTGATGCCGCCTCGGCACTCGCAGGCAAAATTTAAGGCCCGTCACAGATTGGTGGAGTTATATAACGGCGGTACCTTTTGAAGCAATATAGGCTGGCTAAACAAAGTTGGACATTCTTTTTAGAAAACTTGGAGCGCTCCATTACGCACTGGCGAAGTGTGTGTGTGTGTGTGTGTGTGTGTGTGTGTGTGTGTGTGTGTGTGTGTGTGTATGTGTATGTGTGTGTGTGACTCTGTATGAAGAGTGATGTTTGATTCTCAAACGTAGTGGATGTCGTTCTGATGATTTACGCTGCCTTTTATACCGTACAGTGCAGAACACACCGACTGAACCACTAGCTTGGAGGGGCGCTTACGGTGGGCGAGACGCTATAGTAAGGACAGACTACAAAGAACACAGGAGTGTTGCAAAGAACGGTTATTCGTAGTCTGCCCTTAGATAGCGTCTCTCTATCGCAGGTGCACCGTCAAACCAACATGAACCAACTAGCCTCTTTCGTCGCACCGTGGACAGCACTTTAGTACGTTGTAACAGCAACACTGCTTACCCACCAAATCAACCATGCGCTGGAACTCCGACCTCGAGCCGGATCTTATACAGCACTATTGTACACTGTAGCAGCACCACTGCTTACTCCGTGATTATACCGCCTGCCAGTGAAGTAGACAGGGTGGTTTTTTTTTCGGGGAGATTACCCCCGAAGACGGGCGTCGCAAACCTCTCGGCTATCGAGGTATGCTAGCGTAGCGTGGCATAGCATAACATAACATAGCCTTGCAGAGTATAGAATATTTTATGGAGGGGTTTCAATGCCGCCATATTTGCCTGTTAACCTTTGTGTTTTGTATCCTTAACAGCAAAATGAACAGTGTTACGGTAGATGCATACTCATGAAAACCGGTTGTGTTGGTCCACACGACGCTTCGTGACCTTATTAATTCACGTCACAGCATGCAACAACAACAACAACAACAACAACAACAACAACAACAACAACAACAACAACAACAACAACAACAACAACAACAACACAACAACACAACAACAACAACAACAACAACAACAATGACGACGACGACGACCGCTTAACAGCTTAAGATAGTGGTAGGGTGGCTAGAATAGCCACCCTAATAGTGGGGAGGGTTAGGGAAGCGTGGCTGAAGAGAAAATATGCGAAGGTTAAGATCACGGAACAGAGGAAGGGAAGGGAAGAGAGCAAAGTGTAGCACTGAAAAAAAATGAGAAAGAGAAAAAAGAAAGAGAGAGTGAAAGAAATACAGACAGACAGGGAGAAAAAGATCGAACGAGGAAACTAGTGAGAGATAGAGAAAGAAAAAAGGCAAAAAAGATTTAACGAGGAAACTAGTGAGAGATAGAGAAAGAAAAAAGGCAAAAAAGATTTAACGAGGAAACTAGTGAGAGATAGAGAAAGAAAAAAGGCAAAAAAGATTTAACGAGGAAACTAGTGAGAGATAGAGAAAGAAAAGGGGGGGGGGAAGATGAAAAGAGTAAGAAAACGAGCACAAAGAAATAGAAATGAACAGACATAACATTATCATTGGTGGTTTAACGTCCCAAAACCACGATATTATTATAAGGAACGCCTTAGTAGAGGGCCTCGGGAAATCTGGCCATGTGGCGCTCTTTAACGTGCCCTGACATCACACAGTACCCCTACAGTATTCGCCTCTATTGAAATGCAAGCGCCGCGGCTGGGACCAAATTTGCGACCTTCGGGTCGGCGGTCATGTAATGTAACCGCTCGACCCCCGCGGATGTCATAAACATAGACAAAAAAGAAGTAGAAAGAAACGGAGAAAAAAAAGAGAGAGAACCAATGAAAGAAGGAAGAACTACACAAGCGAACCAGGCAGAGAGGCAGACAGGTTGGCTACCCTACGCCAGAGGGAAAAAGGAGTGAGCGAGATAGGTTGGCACTGCACGACACGCACTAGGCACTGCGCCGTGCTCCCGACCGGGCTGCAGAATTTCGGTGCCTTTCTCCTCTTCTATAACCACTACCACCACCACCACACACACATGCGCGCAAACGCACGCACACGCACTCACACGCACGCACAGTCACACAAGAGCGTCAAAAGTTGCTCTTTTTCGGTGCTTATCGTTCTTCTTGGGATTCTCTCATATTAGCCACTGAACGTTAAAATCGTGGCCGTTTTCCTTGACGTGGCCATGAATCTTGAGCATTTCGCACGTAAGCTGGTCGTCGTGGCATTCGTATTAGAGAGCCGACCGCACGAAGTGTTCAACGGAGAAACGAAAGAGAAACAAAGAAGGCCGCCCAGCTCCGCATACCTTCAGGTTTGGTACCTCTGAAGTGGAGCTGCCTTAATTTATTTTTTTTTTCGGTCACACCTACAACACGCTTAGCGAAGAAGCTCCGGGCGGAAATAGAATGGCAGAACCTCCATGTGTGTTGAATAGATACCCGTAAGCAACTACTGCACTGTTCATGGGGGTGCTCCCACCCGGTGGTGTGTATCGATGACGTGCGTGGTGCAACATGGTGCGCGCACCTAAGCCTCTCTTCATTGGCTAGTTCCAAATTCCAGCTTCGGCCATTCCTAAACTCACCAGTTGGCCCACCCCCGAATTTCTGCGCACCACCAAATTCACTGCTGGCCCTACCTCAAATGTAGCCCACCTTCCAAACTTTAAGTTACGTGCCACGGAAACTGAGTAGTGCTACTCAGCATTGTTCCACTAAATATGAGGAAGACAACAGCAAATGATTGTGACTTTCGATATGGTGTTAGCACTCTTTTACTTTTATTTATTCACGTTTATTTTCTTATTTCCACTTTCTGTATCTTTAAAATATAATTTGTCATTTGTTTTCTTCTTTCATCGTACATTTTAGTAAAATAAGGTGACAATTATTAGTGTAGTTATCATGATGAGGCTACAACAAGTTTTCTTGGCCAATCCCACACAATGGGTATAAGCCAGAGTTGACAGGCAACAACAACAAAAAATACGCAGCATACCCACGCAGTGAATGATGATTAGGGGGGGGGGGGCGAAGCGTTTGTCAGTCCGTCCATGCTTTCGTCCGCCCATTCGTTCTTGCTTCCGTCCGTCCATGCGTCAGTCCGCGCGTCCATCCGTGTGTCCGTCCATCCGTGAGACCGTCGGTGCTCCGGCCTTCCGTGCGTCTCTCCATGCGTCCGTTCTTCCATCGGTCCATCCGTCCGTCCGTTTATCTATCAAGTGCCATTTCACATATCTTTATCATGTATTCATCATGTACAAGTGCCGCCATTCAGCGGACATTCTAAGGACCGCTCTTTCGGGTATGTGCCACCGGTGACTACATACACCATCGGAGAATGGACAGATCCACACCCTACGGAGCTTCGCCCCTAAAACAAACAACGAACAAACGGCTGCAAAACGATGGTGGTGAACTGAAGGCCCCCGAGTTCGTACAACGAGAGAATACTAAGTAACGGGATAGACAACGGAGGCTTATAGTAGACCGCAAGGAGACTGAAGGCCTACGCCAATGATTTACGTGCCCGTAGATCTGCGAGTGTTGTGCACGCTTGGTTTCAGCGCGAGTGTTTGCCCCTGCGATTCGGACGTCCGGGTCGTGTCCGTGACTGTCTATGCTTTAGCCGAACCTCTCTGCGCTGAGAATAAACGTAGAAGCAAAACCTAACATCACCTCTCTAAAGCCTAACACACAAAAAACAATCTAGAAACAATCTGCATCACCTAGTT